TGCAGGATAAAGATTTGTGGATTTCTACTTTTAATTTAATTTTTTATACCTCACAAATATATATTTAAGGGATAAGTAAGATAATATTAATAATCCTTAGAAGTGACTTTACTTTCAAGTACAAGTTTGTGTCACAAACAATTGTGCTGTCGTGAAGAGGTAGACACTATTGTGCAGTAATTGGTATATAGGTTGCGCTGAAGGGACAAAGAGGTAATGTAAAATGAATAAATAAATATAATAAAAAGTCCCAAGTAGTAAATAAACCTGTATGATTCTTGAGTGGATATAAAGTCCAAATGAGTGTCTGAAGCTTCTTATGTTGAAGATATCTTGATTCACTTGTAGATATGTGGGTACATGGAAGAGATAAGGAAAACTCCAATAGTGTAGAATGTCGACAAGTAGTCAGATATAAATCTGTGAGTAGGTAAAAATCTCACCTTTAAATGAGCAAAAAAACTTGCTCAAGTGTTCTTAGCGTACAGTGGCGTCAATCCCCCACTGGTCGGATATAGGTGATGGGATCCTTAAAAATTCCTCGAAATGTGGAGAGATGAGAGACGTATATAGTGCTCACTGTATTATTTAAAAAACAAATAAAATGGTAAAATACTCACATGTATATGAGCAGGAACTACTGCTCAATATAGTGGCGCAGGTGGTACAATCCCAACCTAGGATTCTTGGATAGTAGCGTACTTCAATCCGAATCGGTGACCAGGTAATTCAAATTAAAATAAAAATAAATAAAAAGTATGTATAGGCAAAAATAAAAGCCAATATTTCTTTATTAAAATATAATATATCAGTATAAAAAACAAAGTAATAACAGCCAAAACGCGTTTCACCACACAGGGCTTTATCAAATGGCATTAAAAAGAGAGAAAAACCTGGTACAGTAAATGCTTTTATAAACTAAGAAAAGCAGATAAGGATTTGAAATTTGGTGCCAAAATGACGTCACTAATAAAATATGCATAATTTAAAACATATTCAAAAGTTAAAATTTAAGATATAGAAGCATATTTAAATAAAATCTAGAGGTGTCTATATGTTTAAAATAGTAAAACGAGCGCACATGTAGTGCACATGTAGATATAATATACTTTGAGGAACACGTGATCGCGACCTCCCGCGATCACGTGATCAAACAGCCGAGCATTATGGGGAATGTATGCTGGGGCCGAGAGACCGGCGCGATCATACTCCGCCTGTCTCTCGGCATCTGCACAAGGAGGGGAGGGCATACCAGGGCAGGGAAGATAGCCATATAAATAAAACAGAGGGGGGACCTGGGAGAATAAAAAAAAGGAGGGAGAAAAGGAGAAAAGAAAAGAGAGGGAGATCTGAAAGAGGGACTACTGCAAGGGGCATCCAGCATGAAAAAGAATATAGTATCACCTTGGGCAGAGAAAAAAGAAAAAACAGAAAAGCACAAGGGCAGCAAAAAAAGGGAAAATATATATATATATAGAAAAAGCTATATACATAAAAAAAGAGAAACAAAGGGGGTTTAAAAACAAAAACAAAAATAAGTATAAGTATAAAAAGTAAAAAATATATCTAATAAAAAGTATAAAAAATAAAAATGTATAAAGTATAAAATAAAATAAGAAGTAAAAAATAAGAGTGAGAAAAAAAAAAGGTAAAATGTATATATCTGTGGTTATAAAAAATTAAAAAGATCAAATTCTGCGTTCAGCCCTTGGGGAGATAGGGTTTTGAGTTGAAAAACCCAATTCATCTCTCTTTTTCCCGAAATATTTTTCAGATCTCCTCCTCTCCAGGGCATGGCAACTTTCTCTATTCCAGTAACTTTAAGAAAACTGGTGTCTTTATTATGAATTAAAAAGTGCTTAGACACTGAATGGTTGTCGTAACCTTTTTTGATGTTACGGCAATGTTCTGCCAGTCTGGTTTTTAAGCATCTTGTTGTCATGCCAATATATTGAAAACCACATGGACATTCTAGTAGATATATAACATTTTTAGTGTTACATCCTATAAAGTCTTTAATCGGATATATTATTTTAGTAATAGTGGAAGAAAAATGGGTCGTTTTAGTATTGGCATTTGATTTGTAGATTTGCATACAATACATTTGTTACATTTAAAAAAGCCCTTTGGTTTACACAAGAAATTCTCTTTTGTTGAGGTAGTTTTAGTATAGTTTTTTGTAAGAATTTTTTTTAAATTTGGGGCCCCTCTAAAAATTACATTTGGTTTATCTGGAATATAGTCTTTTAAAAGGTCATCCTGTTTCAGAATGTGCCAATGTTTATTAATGATTTTTTTTATATCTTTGTTTTTCTTATTTAAATCTAAAATAATAGGCAATTTTGGGGGGTCTTCCTTTTTGGCTTTATATACTAAAAGATCTTTTCTTTCCTTAATTGTAACTTCTTTTAGTGCTGCATTTAATTTTTCTGGTTCATAATTTTTTTCTAAAAACGTATTATTCAATGAGGTAGATTGGGTTTTAAAGTCATTTGTTAGAGAACAGTTTGATTCCGGCCTGTCAAATAGATTTTATACTTGAGGGTATTCACATGCTTTTAACTAATAACTAAACCCCCTTTGTTTCTCTTTTTTTATATATATAGCCTTTTCTATATATATATATATATATATATATTTTGCAGTAGTCCCTCTTTCAGATCTCCCTCTCTTTTCTTTTCTCCTTTTCTCCCTCCTTTTTTTTATTCTCCCAGGTCCCCCCTCTGTTTTTATTATATGGCTATCTTCCCTGCCCTGGTATGCCCTCCCCTCCTTGTGCAGATGCCGAGAGATGGGCGGAGTATGATCGCGCCGGTCTCTCGGCCCCAGCATACATTCCCCATAATGCTCGGCTGTTTGATCACGTGATCGCGGGAGGTCGCGATCACGTGATCGCGGGAGGTCGCGATCACGTGTTCCTCAAAGTATATTATATCTACATGTGCACTATATTTTAATAACGCTCGTTTTACTATTTTAAACATATAGACACCTCTAGATTTTATTTAAATATGCTTC